GAGGTTTGTCTTTCTGGTTAACTTTTAGTTATATTGTAGATGTAAGATAACATCATCTATTTCCTTACACTTAAATTACACTCTTTTTGTTTTAAAATTGCATTTCTAAGGTTTTAGATTAAATTTATTAATAACATTATCGGCTCATTATTCTTTCTTCATTTTAAAATTTATTGAGGCTTATCTTTCTGATTAACGTTTTATTATATAGTAGATGCCTAATAACCTCAGCTATTTTCTTACGTTTAAATTACTTTCTTTGTTTTAAAATAGAGTTTTTAAAATTTTTAGATTAATTTTACTAATAGACTTATCTGCTTACTCAATAAAACTATTGCAAAGAATCTTAATAAATTATTGCAAATGCTAAATGAAACATTGTTTTGAATGCTGTGAAAAAATAATGGTAATGTAGTGCAAATTTTATTCTTTGCCATTTACAATCATAGATTTTATTACATTAACTGTACATGAAATATTACTTTCTTTAGTTACACATATTTTTACTTTTTATAACCATTCCCTGAAATATATTTATATTTAATGATTTTAAATTTCTAAATTGTGTTTTTAATACAACAGTGAGCATATATACGAAAAATGTCTAAGATATATCATGATACTTCTTATTTAATGTTATCTGGAAGGCATAACTTAATATTTTGAGAATATCAGAACATTCACCGTGTTAAGAAGATAAGAAATATATACACTGTTTCATCTGCTTGAGTTATGAAAACATTGTGTAGTAATAAATTATATAATTATTTGCACTACAACTTATTTATCATATCGCAAGCAATACGATGTTATTTATGTAAATTTCCCAAGTAACAGTTTCAAAAATGTATAAAGTATAATGTATACATTTAGTATATCGTACATCTATATTAATCTAAAAGTTCGAAGTACGTCTTCGAAGATTTTTAACGTAACATGCACTTCTATTAAAATTCCGTAGAACTGCTACTTAAGAAGTATGACATTTATTCTTCTGCTTGAGATATGAATAATTTTGGTAGTGATAAATTATAACTCATTGGATAGCAACTTCCTGATTATATCTCACAAATAATATGATGTTATTTTCCTAAAATTCCTAACCAACAGCGTGAGAAATGCATGACGTATAAATTTTAACGTAGCTAACATCTGTGAAAATATAAAGTTTTGTAATGCGTCACTAAAGCTTTTGCAAGTAAAATATACTTCTTTTCATCCATTAAAACTCCGCAAAGCTCTATTTAACATAAAGTAGTGCACCGTGCTACATTAACAGCACGGTGGCTGTAAAGCAGCAATCAAACCGAATTCTTTGCCAAACAGCACTTTTGTTTACATAATTTGGTTTCCTGTAACCAAAGCTGAAACAAGATAATTACATACTAGAACCTAATTATATAGCAGAAGAAATTTTTCAGGGGCACAAGGAAAGAGCTGTTAAGTAGAAAGACTTAATAACAGGGAAATCTTATTACCAACAATAGAATACTTAACGAACAGCGTAAAAACCCACAAATAGAATCAATACAGAAAAAGTAACATATTTACTGTGATCTATAATATATATATTTTACGTAGGTTTATGTTTTCGGTTTTGAAACAAATAATTCATTATATAAGAAAGTCCTTTATAATGTATAAATGACCGCAATTTACTGGGTTATAAAATTAAATGTTCAACAGCTATTATGCAGATTGTAATAGATATTAACATACGTAAGGGCTGACTTATTGACTCTTTTTTAGGGTATTGCTTGTATAAAAGTTTAATGCAATGCCCTTCAGTCCCTCCTAGACTGATGAGCGAATTATCGCTCCAGCCTGAATTCAAATGATATAGCATAGAAATGTTAAAATAAAATTTTTATTGAAATCTTTAACAAACTCTTAAATTGTACTTTAAATTAACTATATGGATTACAAATAAACCTTCGCTACGTGCAGGTATTTGAAATAACATAAGATGAAGTTAAATTCAAATTTAGGTAATGTAGTCTGAGACTACACACAAAATAGACTACTTACATCAACTGTAAACCAAGCGAACTGTCTGAAAGAGTTTTATTAATCAAATAAGGGTAGTCTGAATCGCAACATTCATTGGCAGCTCTTAAATAAGAAGACAAGAGATCAGAGATTTATTGAAAACAATTTTCTCTTTTTTATGGGAATAAAATTCTTAGATATATTTCTCGTTTAACTTAAAATTTTATTTAACTAATAAATTTTCATAAAATTAAATGCTGTTTATCTTATGCAGTTAGAATTATTACACTTAAAGCGCTGTATGCGGGAACACCATAAACGTGAACACATTTATGCGCACTTTTTAAGTTTCCTTTTAGAACTAAAATAATAATGCAGAAATTTCTTACTCGAATTTCACAGTATTATAAAAATAATGAAAGTGCCTAGCTTGTAAATTATTTAATTATAAAAAAATTACTGCTAACCAAAGTTTCTTATATTACTGTATAGGGTGCATTAGGATACCTTTTCGATTTTTAGTTCAGATTTGATGCAGATATTCCAGGTGTAAGTTTGCATACAATACATGTAAAATGCGAGATACTGTGCTTATAACATATAACCTGTCATTTAAAAAATAAATATTTATTTATCATTCGGCTTTATTATACAAATTAAGAAGTACCCTGTGTCAATTGTTGTGAACCGGAGACAAATATGCATAAAATCACAATAACGTAACTCTCGATAAAGAAGAAGAGGTATGCTTTCTTTAAGTTATGAAGCACAGAAAAATAATAAAAGCGTTAAGTACAGAACTTCCATTAAAGGCAAATACTTGAATGAATAATTGCCGGTGTCTGCCAATAACGTGCAGCAATATGGCGCTTTATTAAATGGGAGCAGTCATTTTGTGTTAGAGAATACTCGAAAGCAGTCTCCCGTACTAACAGCGGAGCAACTACTCACATGAGAATTTCAGCACCTTTTTTAGCAATATCATTAAGTAGTATATGAAATTCCTAGGTGAAAGTGCCATCCTATTAATATTACAAAAATATGTATACTTAAATCCTTTAAAAGGCCGCCCTGGACAGTATGGTAGTGCAGGTTGACCGGTAGTCTGAAACCAAGGGAGTGAGTTTGACTTCCGTGAAGTGCTTTTCTGTAGCTATGTTGTCTTCCTTTCCCCCTTTTTGTGGATGAAATATCTGTCAATTTATGTAATGCAATCTGGGGAGCGTTTCTGGTTATGAGACAGCTAAATGATCAATTTGCTTTGATAATCATACATAATGAGCAACTATCTGGACACCTGATAAAAAAAGGCATTAAAAAATTTGTGCGACCAAGAATCTATGATTGTGCTGTTACATTATCACAAGTATTACGATATGGTCTCTGATGCAAAAGAATAAATGCTGTATAACCTAATTTTGTTTTATTCGAGTCCTTTAGTTGGATACAGACAGTGATATTTGCCAGTGAAAATATGAACAAAGATTTATTCGGATGCCCTACCGCTTACAATCTGCATTTGATCTAAGCCTTTGTTTACAAGCAGCATACTGATATGACAATTTGTCGATCTTATGTAAATTTGAGAAAACTGCTCACATTTATCGGACACACTATTAAATAATAAAGGCTGTTTTAAAGGCAGGCATAACATCAAAACCTTTAATTCTGAAGATAATGAACATTATCGGTAAGATTGGTTTTAGCCGATTTCTTGTCCTTGTTTTACCAAAACAGAATAAGACAAGTAGTTACAGAGAACTTAAAGAACCTCAGATAAATCTTATTGTTAATTTTATTCTAAATTGGATGATGTAAAAATATTTTAAAAAACTTATTATTTTTAACACAATTAAAATTAATGCTAGTAAAAAATTTGTAAGGTGTCTTTTATTGTTACATTAAGCATCAGGTTTTTAATATGCAAAACATCCTATGAGGACGTACTGCTCTTTCTCCAAAATTAACATATCTGAAGACAGAAACTACAAATAATACTTACATTTCACTAAATTATACTTTGTTAAAGCTAACTAGCTGAGGCTTTCTGCTGTTAACGATTTATTATTAAATAGATATTAACTATAGAAATAAACCAGAAACAAATTGAATAAAATTCCATTATTTGTTGGTATATAAAGTAGATACTTGGTGTAAAATTTCTTCAAATTGCACTCGGCGCCTTTTTCTGTCACAAATATTCTTTCAGAATCGACATATACGCCAATATGTCTTATATCTCTTCAGATAGCAGTATTTTTACTTTTCCTATAAAGAACTTAGAAAGGAACTGATACATTTTCTTCAAGAAACGCCTTTGGGAAATAGGGTACATTTTTAAGGTGATAAATGACTTACAGATACGGAGAATTTAATTAAAACGAAAGGTTTCCAGTGAAATTTGTGAGGATTCAACGCAAAACTGAATTATAGTAACTGAAATTAAACAGGCTTCGATATATTGTCAAAGGATCGTAGTTATGTTTAATCTCTGTCATCGATTTGGTTTTTAAACTATCTAATTTACGGCTCATATGGGCTATGGTATACTGCTTAGCTAACTTCTAAACTTGCTATCAGCTTCTTCCTCTCGAAAAATTCTTAAATTCATATATTTCTTGACAAGTTTAAATTGAAATGAAGGAGCAAATTATAGATAAACCAAAAATAATTTAATTATCTGAACTGAAACTTCCCAACTTTTCACTCGAATATCAGGGAAAGAATAATAAGGTAATTTAGGGACGAATCTACTTGTAAAAAAGCAGATATTTAAATTAAAATCGCATTCAGTTATCAAAAATTTAACAAAACAAAAGTCCTCTCATGGAAGTTTTTTGCAGACAGAATTTTATATTGACATTTAAAAAGCAAATGTCGTTTATGTATACTTTAATTATTAATATGCATTAATTCATTCCATGATGCTCATTTGAAGAAGTTTGTTCCATGATGCTCATTTGAAGAAGTTCGTATTTTGGATAGTAATCTTCATAAATGACATAACTCACCTGTATGTTGCAACTGTTCCGAGTTTTGTGTGACAGTTGTCTGACTCCGCAATTGAACGATGATGCGTCTCGGATCAGTGTGAATGGTGTTTGTAACAAAATACGTGACGAAAGGAAACTGACCTGAAATGAATTAAACAAAAAATTAATTTATTTTTACCGCAACCATAAACAGGAACTTTTTTATTGTGATTTTTCAAAATAGTTCTTTGCATTTTAAGCATTATATGATTGCCGACAACAACTGAAATATCAAAACATAATACTTATTTAAAACTAAGGGAAGATAGTTCTGAAAATTTACCCCTTACTGCGTGTCTTCGTGGTATGACTGAAAGCACGTCCAAATGAAAACTGGAAGGTCCAGAGTTTAAATTTCGGTGAAGGAATTGCTAATTTATCATGTTTCATGCTCCAAAATAAACATTATAACGCTACAAACACTGGTAGATCAACCCAGGCTCAAATTACGGCGAACGGGCGTGCTGTGAGTGTGTTTACGGGTGTTTCGCATGGATGACCTAAATATGAGCCGGTTGACTTGAAAATGATTTCCTCGAATGCATCCTTCTATTTAATTAAATAAAGCCCTGTTGATCTACTGTACTCATATAAAGAAATTAAACCAACCTAATAAAGTAGCTTATGCAAGCGCTCTACTGATAATTTAAGTCTGTCCTTTAAATCTTTATCAATTTATTTATAACATTATTTACCAGTTTATTTCATTTAGCAGTTTTAAATACAGTCTTCAACGCTAACTATTCTCATCTTGCTAGGTAATTTGTTCTCCGTTTCCCATATTGTTAGGGTAATTATTAACAGTTCATTACTCAGCATTACTCGCAAACCTCAGCTCCAGATGAACTCGCGTTATTAAATAAATTTTTGTTTGAATCTCACACTGTAAGGTATTGTGACTAACACATCATCTGCGCCAGAAAGTACACTAATACACAGCATATCCTGATGTCCATGTCTTAACCATTAAGTTAATTTTCTTAAATACAAGTTGTAATAAAATAAAGAACCTATTACCAAAACATTTAAAATTTTCATTTCCAATTTACATATTCCTATATTTGGTCTTATCCAAGATGTGACAAACTACTCATAAAATTTACGATTGGTGAGTTAAAGCATTTAATATACAATTTATAACTAGATATACAACATTGTTGATAAGTTATTTAAGTGAAATAAAAGAAATACACATCTAAAAACATTGCATGAAAATTAGAACAAATTTCAAGTTTATATTTCTAAAAAACTTACATTTAGAGAATAGTTTAAAGATTTGACCCACAACTTCAGACTGTTTTGAAAATACATCTCATAATGGTCGAAGTAACATTTTTAATAAATAAGAACTGTTGAAAAGAGAAAAAACCTTAAAGTCTTATAAGGTTGTATTGGAGGACAGCTCGGTATCCCTTGTTAATGAAGACGTTATGACCAATGTAGGTCACCTCGATCAAGTCTTATAAGGTATTTTCTCCTTTCTTCCAGTATGCCTTCGTGATGTAACGGTTAGCATACTCGGCGCATATTCGAAAGGACCAGGTTCGAGTCCCGGCTAAAGCATTGCTTATTTTTCATGTTTCCTGCTTCAAAATAACCTAAATTACTCTTTAGTGGCGTCCGAACTAGAAGGTGGTGGATAATGATCCTTTACCACCAGGATTTGGTGACTGGGTCCACTAATCCCCAGTCGCCCTTTAAAAGGGGGAGATTTTCTTCTTCTTTCTAGTATGCCTTTGTAGTGTAACAGTTAGCCCGCTCGGCGAGTATTCAAGAGGACCAGGTTTGAGTTTCGGCAAGGGCATTGCTCATTTCTCATGTGCCCTGCTTTAAAATAACCTAATAGACTCTACAGCCTAAACTAAATAACTGCTTTCAAAACTGGAGGGCCCACCAACAGCGATGTTGCTGAATACTAGTAGTTCGGTCTGAGTTTCGAACTCCGCTAACGGGCTGACTGCATGGGAGTTTTCGTGGTTTTCCCATGTGTATCATATATACGAGCCAGTTTCCCGTAGAAAGTCCTCCACGAAGACATCCCTGCGATTAGGCAATTAGGCAGATAGCCCTCGAGGTTTTCTTGTAATCATATAAACTGAACCAAACTAAAATAAAACTGGCGAAAAATGGCAGTTTTAAATCATTAATTTCAAAACTCAAGATTTGCATTATAATTGACATAACAGAGAAAATTACCATAAATTAAAATAATCTTATTGAATTGTTTTGTATTATTTTACTCTACGATTGGGAATGAAATGAATTGGGTAAGTTGATTATGCAAAACACACTACGACTATCTGCCGAAGGAGAGGGATGGTTTCTTTGAGGAATTTCTAAGGGGAAAATGCTCATATTTATGTTACACATGGAAAAATTTTAAAACTCGTGAAACCGAGGTCAGTACACATGCAAGGTATAGGGTCTTCTGAACGCTGGTGTCACGTACTTATAGAACTGGAAGAAAAGAAGATACAAACTGAGTAAGGATGAAGCGAGTTTGAGCACACACAAAAAAAGCAAAAATGACGTCATACAACAGCAATCCTTGTTGTATAAGAACTTTAAGTTAAGTATGGGTGTTCAGCGATCTTACTGACTCACTTTGTAGTGGACTTCAGTATTCTAGGAATAAGTTTGTCAGTACAAGTCGATTTTTAATTCACTGAGGTTATATTGCACTTTTTGTAGAATGCAAAATTTTTAATACTGAAATTAAGAATTTCGCTATTAATTACTTTGCGGTTTCTTTCTTAAACACTTAAATGTATCAGTATTTAAAACTCAATACTTTAATAGAGTATCAGTAAATTTGAAGTAAAATCTCGTAAAAACTCTGAGTTCTGATGCTAGAGCTTGGGATGAAATGCATCTTTTATATATAAAAAAATTAATCAGTAAGTTTACATATTCAGTTCTTTGTGCAATTAAAAATTTTTAGATCAATAGTTTTTTTTTTTTTTCATTTCACCTGATTTACAAACTACAGAGTTTTGCATATGAAGTTGAGTTTTTTTTAACATTTTTCTACCTCATCTGTTTAACCTGTTCATATTAAATAGATGTTTTAGAGATGTGTACCTCTTTGAAACCGTTTGCATCTCAGAGAAAAAATTAAATTTCCTCCTACTGTTTCAGAAAATGAAGTAATTTCAAATCAAGAAATTCACTAGTGTTTCTTTCTTATTCAGTTTAGATTTACATATTCCTAATGCCAGCATATTCTGAATGCTTTACGGCGCAGTACTTCTCAGTCTTTCACATACCCTGATAACAATAATTTGTAACAGCTTGATCCAAGACCTAACTTAATGACGCCATTACCGTTCCGCCACATATAATCTTCTTAACGTTTCTATTTTACTCCTAATAGCAAGGAGACGGATACACAGTCAGAAATCACACTTGCGCATAAGCAGCGACAGAATTAGCCTCTTTTAGAATCGATACCATTTAGTAGGCGCGACAAGTCATTGACAGAAGCTGATAAATTGTCTTACAATACATGTTTTAGGTGAAAGCTAAAGTCTGGTTTATATTGAAACAAGATTATATATTACTAGAAAGATTTTCTTCACATTTTTTTCCTTTGGTGTATTCGAGATAAATGAGAATTTGTATAGATTTTATTTATAAAGTTGTGGAAATTTTCTATCAGAAAATGATTGAAAGCAACAAACTTTAGTTTTTGATAATAAGTCAACATTATAGTTTCCTTAACATGCCTTGATTTCGACAAATCCTTCTTTAATTTTCTTGCAAGAGAGTATTTAAGTATTTCTGAATTAAAACAACATCTGGCCCACCAGTGGCTGAGCGGTAAAATCGCTGAACACTGGCAGGTTGGTCCAACGTTCGAATCCTGCCAACAGGCATGGCTGCATGGGCGCTTTCGTGGTTTTCCCCATACGTAACGAGTATATGAAATTTTACGTGTATAAATTTTGTATTTTGCTATAATTATTTATATATTGTATACTACGTAATAGTTTCTGTGTATAAACGTGTATAAATAACGTTTATATAATAGAGCTAGTTTCCCTAAGATTGTCCTCCATGAAGATATCCCCTAGGAAGATAACCCTCAAGGCTTTGCCGTAATTGCATAAATCAAACCAAATTAAGACAAGATCTAGCTGTACCTGCTTATTTTCATTAATTTTAAAATGATATTACTAAGCAGGTAAAATATGGAAAAGATAAGAAAGTAAAATAGAAGCATTTAAAACATTCAATATAAATATTCAAGAAAAAAAGAGAACGGATGACAAAAAAATAAAAAATAAGTCATTCCTTTTGGGTTTCATGATGGCTACACATATTCTGACGATATTATTTTACTTGGACGGCTGCTTAAATTAAAGCTAGGTCCTTTTCATTATAACTGACAAAATGTTAAGCATCTGGTGAAAATCCCATGTAAAGTTGCTTGTTCAGTATATATTAAAGATTTCTTTAAAGAGAATGAGTTAAAGCAAATATTTTTCTTGATATGAGACTTTGTTACACATATTTACTCTGATCCCTCTAACTTCCCCGTGTTTATCAGACCGATAAAATATTTTAAAATGCATTTTAATATTGGTTAAAACAAATCGAGAATCATCTTCATAGAAGATACAACAAAAATGCAAGAAGGGAGGTTAGCAGCGAATGCTTTAATTTTACTAAAGTTCTTTGCTGAAAATGAAAATAATGTATAAAAATACACAAAGCTATCTTATCTAAGAAAAGGAGAAGTAAAAATTCTTGTGGCATGGACACACTGAGATGATCAAAACTTTTATAGCGTTTAACAATATTTTTACCCGAGACATAGTGTACAGTGAAAATGTTTTCAAATATTATAAGCTAATCTATTTTGGTAAATTTACTGTTCATTGTTGCGCGAAATTTGAGTTAAGTTGCAAAGTAAAACAATAAAATAACTGATCCATCTTCGTTTAATCTTTATTTAATATTATTTATTTATTATTTAATTTCCTTTAACCTTCGTTTAATCCTATCGCGTAGTCTCAAAATATATATGCAAATTTAAAGTTGGATCCCTTGCCTAAATTTTAATTGTTTCATTCTCATTCTCATGCCATTCCCAAGCGTTC